CCCCAAAACCCCAAAACCCCAAAACCCCATTCGTCAAAAATTTATTTTCTCAGAGATTTTATCAAAAATTAAAGCTAAAGTTTTAACATTTATAACTAATTGTCTCATCTTTAAAGCTTAAGTCGTAATTTACTTACTTCTTATTAGAGAAGCACCATCCATAGGGAAATCCTTTAGAGGTTTAAATCTGTCCAATCTAAATTTTGCTCTCTTGAGGACTGAAAATGACATTTATTATTCCCAAATCTATATTATCTGAATTACACTTTTTAATGAATTTTTTTTCATCAATATATCCATTTTTCTTGAGGTAATAAAGGCATTTACTAGATATTTACTAGCTTATAATATTCTCTCCATGACCGGAACTTAATGAAGCCCAATATTTTTACTATTTTTCGCTATATTTTGCATCAAAGCCAGAGCCTCTCAAAACACACTACAGGGAATATTATTAAGATAAAATTTTACAGATCCTATTCTACCAATTTATTTCAACCAAGGCCCGCCCGATGAAGTTCCAATATATATATTTGTCTCTTCATTTTTATCCTTTGAAATTAAGATTGCACCTATTGTATCTTGATTTCAGTTGTTGTAAACATCAGCATTATCATTTCTACTTTTCTATTCTTTTAAAATTATCTCAAATTTCGCTTATTTCTTTTTCGCATATGAATCTTCCATGTCAACGCATGAGAACTATCTACCTTAATTCTCATTATTTTGAGCTAAGAAATCAGCTATAATTCTAAATTATATAAAATAAATATTACATTGGATCATCTTAGAAACCTCATTTTTATTTTTAACTTGAAATTATCATTCTTTTCTAAAATAAGAAGTTAGCTACTTAAATTGGGTTTTTAATTTGTTTTAGTTGGGTTACTGATGCGTATTAAAATTCAACTTTATTTAGTAGACCAAATGATGCTTCATTTTAAATTTCACCATTTATATTAAAGTGTGAACCACTTCCTGCATTGACTTATTTGCTATCCTATTACAATTTTAGATTTTTAATGGTATTAATATTACTTCTAAATATGATAAAACTTTAAGCAAAATATCTTCAGCTTTTATATCTTTTTATTTCATTAGCTATTTACCTAATTGTAATGCATTTTAAATAAGCTAAGACTTTTGTTCATATTTCTTTACTGATCTTGGAAACCCACCAGCACCAAGGTGAAGTATTAAGAAAAATTTTTGCTTAGGCTTTTTATCCTTTTATTAAAGAATAAGATTTTTTTCCATTTTAAGATTAAAATTTAATTACAATTTTGAGTGAACTATCTATTTTATTGATAATTAATGATGGAAGAAACTCTTGAGGAATATTAAAATCTCGAAGTATTTAAAAGTTTTACTCAGGTTCATAATCTTAATCATTTGATTAGTCAAACATAGCAAGTAAAAGAGTAGTACAAGAAGCCAATGAAAATAAGGAGGTTTGATCCTGAAACAGGGGCTCATTTTATGTTCAATGAAATAGTCCCTAAATTAGAGAAAATAATTCAGGATAGATTTATCCACTCAAAAAAATAACTTTTGAAAGAATTCAAATCTGATCGTGGTAATGATAACCAAAATATAAGTTCATTAAAGCAATAGTCACAGTCATTTTAAGTAATTGGTATCAGATAAGGTATTACAAAAAGTGGAGTGAGAGAATTTAATGACAAGGATTAGCAGAATCTGATTAATATTAACGAGGTTCAAGACAATAATGGATTGAAATAATCTCGAAACAGTCAAATTCCAATATTATAGAGAAAAATGCAACAAGTTAGAATGAAATCAAACCATAATGCTTAAGATGCTGGCAGTGAATTACGATAAAGATTTTACAATATTTAGAAATAACAGCCTGGCACAGCTAATTTAAATCAACGCAGAATTATTCATAAAAGTTTTGATCTTTACAACTAACCTAGATACGGTGGGCTACCAACAGAAGAAAATTTTGAAAGTACGTAGAGCAGTGTGATAGAAAATCATGCTTCAAACAAGATATTCCCCTTATAAAAAGAAAAAATACTAAACACTACTTATCTCTAATTAAATGGAATCAATAATAATATCTAAATGAGAGATATTGTAGTTGATAAATTTCAAGTTGTAAAGAAGTCTCCATAAAAAGTTTTGAATAGTTTACTGAATGCACAAGCTAAGCTAAAGGAGACTTAAAATGTCCAAAGAAAAAATAAGACAGCAAAAGATGCGATGATTAAAATAGATGGCATTTCATAAAATATTCATAGACGAAATAATACTTACCTCGATAGGACATCATAATAACAGCAAATTCAGGCTGATAGTAAGTTTGAAAATACTCAAGCAAGAGAATCGATGTACTTGAATGCATCGAACACTTAATCATTTGGGAATATAAATAGAAGATCTGTAAATAGAATACCTACAACTGAAATTAGCTACGCTAATATTCATAAATAAGATAGCATATATATGCAGGGATTTAATGAAGTCGACAGTTAGAGAAGTCAGTTAGACTTATCATAAGACAATTAAGTCATCAACAATATGAAAGTGAGAATAACATAAAAAGATTAAAGGATTATTAGGACTAGTCATATCAGTGGATCTTAAAGATTAGGAAAATCTGATCTACTTGGTCACACTGATGTTTATGGATTCAATAACCATATGATAAATACTCGAATAAATCAAAATGAATTACATCAAAATTAATTACAATAACAAAAGCAACAAAATCAAAGCTAGGAATAAAAAACTTCTTTTACTCATAGGAATTCTGCGTCCTCATAAAGATAGAAGCAATAGTATTAGATGCCAAATATCATAGATATGATTGAAGGAGCAGATTCACACCGAATTGGATCAACTTCAAGGACTAGATTTTAGGCTGTTCAAACATACTTATCACAAACATCAAGTGCATTTAAGGAAAGATTTTCAAATAAGTTGAAAAACACTTCTCATTAGAGAAACCTTAGTTAAAGATACAGTAAGGATCCACCAAAGAACCCGTATCATAATTTAATAAACAGAAAGGATAGAAGATCATTGAAGAATGTTAATATGAGTGCTTAGATAAGTAGGGATTAGGTTTCAAAGTTATTTATAGATATGGTTAAAAAGTGAAATCATTATCATTACTTGCAAAATTACTTAATCAATTTTTATTAACATTTTTTGAGTATTATCATCAGTAGGGGTTTTGGGGTTTTGGGGTTTTGGGG